ATGTGGGCTCTGAAGCATAGAATGGTTAAAGATTAAAAAAAAAACAAAAAAAAACAAAAACAAAAAAAAAACTTGCTGAGAGTAACTCAGCTAGGAAGCAGGGTCAGATTGAGGATTCAGATATTGGCAGGTGGATTCACAGCCTTTTCTCAACCAATAAACTATGCCGCCTTTCATATATACAATAAGTAATAGGTGGTATGAGCTGAATTTTGTCTCCCTAAAATTTGTATGTTGAAGTCTTATCCCCCAGTACTTCAGAATGTAACTGCATTTGGAGATAGGGTCTTTATAGAGTTAAAGTTGCAATGAGGTCATTACGGTAAGTCCTGATCCAAAGTGAATGATGTCCTCATAAAAAGAATAAATTTGGACACAGACAAGGACAGTAGGAAGACGATGTGAAGACACGGGGAAAATGTGCAAAGGAAAAAACCTGGAACATATTCTTTCCTCACAGCCCTTGGAAGAAACCAACCCTGTTGGTATCTTAACCTCTAATATCTAACTTCCAGAAATGTGAGAAAATGAATTTCTGTTGTTAGAGCCAACCAGTCTATGGTACTTTACTGTGAAAGCTCTAGCAAACTAATACAGTGGTAGAAACTTCATTCTCAAAGCACCTAACTGTACCTTAAATGTTAAAAGTACTGAATAAATATGTGTTTATTCATGAAGATTTGACTCATTTAAAAAAGTTGAGATTGTCAAATAGTTAATTCAATTTGTAGCTCCGAAAAAGTATTTGCCAATGTAATTTTTGTATCTCTAGTTTAAGCTAGTTTTCTATCTTTTAGAAACTAAGATATCTAGATTTCAGTTTAGAGCTCATTTTTACAGAGAACTACGTAAGAGGAAAACATTTAAAGAGAACTGATCCTACCAGAATAAGAAAAGAGACACAAGCTAAAGAGATAAAGGAACTGCAAAGACAGATTCTCAACATTTAAATTTGGGATAGAGCCATCATTTTTTCTCTGGCATTTAAACCATTTGTGCTGAAAATCCAAGTGTATGTTACACTATATTGATTTTTTTTCCCACAATTTAAACACACTGACATTTCGTTAGCACTTTTTACATAGTTTTTGATCTACTGCATTTGTCACTTAAAATTTAACTGACTTCTATAAAACTAAATGCTTCTAGTAACACTTTGGTGTGGTTCATTGCTCCTAAAAGACATGGATAAGGGAAATGGGACATAAGATTGGGAATTTTAGAATAAATCTTTGAATTATTGACTTCTTTCAATGAGTAACTAAAGCTCAAGGAGAACATTGGCTATATGGGATAAAGATTAGATCTGGATCCTTGCTTCAACGTGATGAAGCCAACTTTGCAAGCTTTGTATCTTTTTTCTTTTATATTTCTGTGACAAGTAGCTATTATTCAAGGAGATAATAAATATAAAAAGACAAGGAAGCTTTGTAAAAGACAAAAACTTGAGCCTAACCATCCCCATCACTATCATAGATGCTGATTGAAATCAACAAAGGAACATAAAGAGGGAACATGCATAACAAACATAGAAACTAGGAAATGGTGCCATCAAATATGTCAGTCAAAGAATTGTTATTGGATATAGTATACATGAAGACATATTAGAAGAAAATTCTGATAATAAATCTCAAAAGAAGGAAATTTTGCTTTCCTGAAGGAAAAAAAAAAAGCAGTATGATGTTGTGATGTTGCAAGAAGTGATCCAAAATGCAGTCCAGAAAGACTTGAAAATCTGGAGGCTCAAGGTGTGTAAGAAAGATGGGAAGATCACAAAAGAAATGAATAGCACATAATGTTGAGCCACTTTGTCTGCTCAAGAATAAGAGAAAATGAATCCAGATGCTATAAAATGGCAATGGCAAGTGAGGTCCCGCCATTGGGACAGCAGGTGCACAAGTGCCTCTGAATACAGCTGAGTTCTTTTCAGATGTAATGTACAGGGTTACAAAAAGGAATAGGTCATGGTCACTAATACTAGGAATTTGAAGGCTATAAAAACAAAAATTGAATATGTGCATTCAATAGAAGAATAACATGAAAGAAAGAGAAGAAAATGTATCAAGAATGAATTCTTTTTTGCATACAGCTCAGGACTCGGGTTTCCTTCCTCCATCAATCCATCCCATTTTTTCCAAATAGATGGTCATATCAACAAACTGGTTATATAAAAGTCTACCTACACATCCTTCAGTTTAACTACAGAAGAAGAATTTCAAGAGCATCTTGGAAGAAAGATAGGGGCAAAATAAAAATCAGCTCACTCTATTTGAGAACATGCCAGTCACTAAAAGGATTTTCACTCAAAGAAGACATAACAGAAACAAAAGATACCAATGATGGGTCTGCTAAAACATTCTGAAAAAAAAAAAAAAATAGGGATATTATCACATAGGATGACAGTCTGAATAAGGTTTTTTTTTTTTTTTCTTTTTCTTGAGATGGAGTCTCCCTTATGTTGCCCAAGTTGGAGTGCAGTGGTGCTATCTTGGCTTGCTGCAACCTCTGCTTCCCAAATATAAGCAATCCTCCGCTTCAGCCTCCCAAGTAGCTGGGATTACAGGCACGTGCCACCACACCTGGCTAATTTTTTGCATTTTTAGTGGAGACAGGGTTTCACCATCTTGGCCAGGCTGGTCTTGAGCTCTTGACCTCGTGATCCCAACCGCCTCAGCCTCCCAAAGTGCTGGGATTACAGGTGTGAGCAACCATGCCGGCTGGTGGTACTTTCTTAAAACAAAAATATGTTCGAAGGAATAAAAGTAAAGTATATAGACTATCCACTTTGTTTGACTTCACAAAATAAGATTCAGATGAATAGATAAGACTACAAATACAATAGACAATTGTGTAAGACAGAAAATGTAATGCAATTAATAATGCATTGTTCAAAATTATTACAACAGAAGCAGCAAAATAACTGACAAAAATTTAATTAAACTATGATCAGAAACATTGTGAATATTAATCAGAAATCTAAAATATGAACAATGATTACTAAAGAAATTTCCAGAGAAATCAAAGAAATGACAAAAAAAAAATTATGACGCCAATAAACCTGAGCTGAAGAGTCGCCTAAAGATGAAGCTCCAGAGAATAACATAAACTAGAAAAAAAAGAAAGATAAAAGTCATTTAACTTTTCACCTAATTTTTTTAAAAAAATAAAAAAGAATAAAGAATTTACTATAAACCCCAAAATAAGAGGCTGAAGCATAACTCTAATTAGTTAAATTTGCCTATCAATAGACAATTAAGTGTCTTGTCTTTTAACAGTTATTTGGTGGTCCATTCAACACAGAGGATTATTTGCTGAAGAAGATAGATAGTACAGGCAAGAGAGCCAGGTACAGAAGGGAGCACCTAATTTTAGTGGCTACAACAAACAAAGAGAACAAAATAAACAAGAAGTCTCATCATGATCTAGCAATTAATTCCCCTGAACTTGTTACTATCATTAATTCCTTTGTGTTATTCACTGAGACTGTCGACTCTTGCATATAGGTAGCAGCAATCCAGCAGTGGCTGGAAAAGCCTGCTGGAGAACAGCTGATGGTAAGTAAATTAAATAACTTAGGGACTCACACCAGGACCCTTCAATTAGAGAAGTAGCTGCTGGATTCAGCCCAACTCTGAACATGGCAGAATTTTTGTAGTGGCAGGGCTAATCTTAGAAGCTGGCAGTCCTTCAGTTTCTTTGAAGAAATCCCTTCCTTGACATCTGCTCCTGGTCTTTGAACTCCAGAGATAAGTTTGCCTATTGACAAAACCAAAACTGTTTATTCTCATAGGAGTGTATTTTCTATGTGTCCCTATGTTAATTTGTAATGCTCAGAATAAGGGAGGGAAAGAAAGTTTCCATAAAAAATAAAATCTGGGTAACTGCTATGCAGTAAGCACATTAGCGATTTTTAAGAATTTTGACTGCTAAGGGTGTCTGGAGTTGAGTGAGTTGAATGGCAGTATTATCTGAAGAAGAAACATATATGCACTTTCACTACTAATGAAACTAGAGATACCCAAGATCCTGGAATATTATACCTTTGATTTCATGAGCTCAGCCAATGGCATTGCATAAATCCTTCCTTACATAAATTAGTCAGCATCAGTTTCTGTGGCTTCCAATCAAACCAATCTTGAATGTCCTAAATAAAAGACATTGGTAACAGGTGCATAAGTGCAGATGCTTGGGTTAGGTGCTAGTTAATTACATTATCAACTGTGTCCATTTGTGACTGGAGGGACAAAGAGGAAAGCTTCCCAGAAACGTTTAATTGCAGAACCATTAAAATATTTTTCTTTGATCTTTCATAGTATTGATTTGCAATTCTCTGCAAGTCCCTCTGAACAGGTAAAATTGGTTCTTTCCTACCCTGATTCTGCGTTTCAAATTCCAGATTATTTAAAATTTGAATCTTGGTGTTAGTGATTAAGGGACAATGTAAAATAGAAAATAAAATTGTTCATATTTTTTGCAGTAATGATAGATAAAATAAGATGTGATAAAGTCACATCTAAAAATTATCAGCTAAATATGAAGAAAAATCTGAGAACTTGCACGACACAGCTGATCAAATTCTCTAGGATTCTTATAGGAACATTAGGGTATTATAAGGAAAGATTTGAATCCTTCAAAATAAATAAAACTGCAATAACACAGATAAGCCAGAAAATTGCAAGAATCAAATCCCCTGATAGCAGTTTGAAAATATGACACCTAAATATTTTGACATTTCTTTTTTTCCTTTTTTCTTTCTTTTTTTTTTTTTTTTGAGATAGAGTTTTGCTCTTTTTGTCCAGGCTAGAGTGCAATGGTCCAATCTCAGCTCACTGCAACCTCTGCCTCCTGGATTCAAATGATTTTCCTGACTCAGTCTCCTGAGTATCTGGGATTACAGGCACTTGCCACCATGCCTGGCTAATTTTGTATTTTTTAGAGGCAGGGTTTCACCATGTTGGTCAGGCTGGTCTCGAACTCCTGATCTCAGGTGATCCACCCACCTTGGCTTTCCAAAGTGCTGGGGATTACAGGTGTGAGACATTGCACCTGGGCTTTTCTGATATTTCTACCACTGAGACACACAGGTTACCTATTCCCTTCCACCAATCAGGAGTTTGAATATGGCAGAAGTTACACTGTGTAAATTTCAAGGCTTCAGCCACAAGAAACTTGTAGCTTCTGTTTTCACCCTCCCCTACTCCCCTTGGGAGACTGATTCTGGAACTCAACTACCACACCACAAGGAAGCCCAAACTAGCCCAAGTAAGATATCACATAGAATGGCCTTGTGTAGGTGTTTTGGCCCTAAGCTATCAACTACCAGACAAGTAAGTGAAGATGAATCCATGTGATTCCAGTTCCAAAATGTTGAATCATTGCCAGCCTTCACTTTGCCCTGCTAAGACCTCAGAGACCATAAATCAGAGATGATGAGTCCTCACTATGACTTTTCCAATTTTCTAACCCACAGCATCTGTGAGTATAATCAAGTGTTTTTGTTTTTGTTTTTTTAATGTCACAAAAGTTTTGAGTGGTATGTTAATGAGCTAAAACCTTTTAGTGGTATGTTAACTGGCACATACCTACAAACATTTTTTATGTGGTATCCTCTTGCAATCTTACAGTGAACATTCTGGCCATAAGTAACAATCCACAAGAAAATCTATATATTTTTTCATAGGTTGTGAAAACTCTCAAGACAATCTGAAAGTGTTTAATCAATAATAGTAAATTAGAAATTTGGAGCAGACAGAATTTATTGCAATGAAATATTGTAATTTGTATGAAAGTTTACCAACCAGCTGCAAGTCTATGCTGAATTGGCTACACAAACCTGATCCAGTAGTGGCCAAGGCTAGCTTACAATTAAAGGTCTAACAAATCCCTTGTCATTATGCAGAGGAAGGGGTTTAGAAACACTAGGAGGCATGAATTTTATGAATTCTGTGCTATACATGTATTTTGACTATCTACTGCTTCATGCTTCATTCTTGTATGCTGTTAAAATCCACTAGACTTTTTTTTTGCCCTTGTCAAGGGAATATGTTAGAATCTTCCAAAAATGCTTTACTTTTTTTATTTCTTCATCAGCAAAATTTGAATTTTCTAATTTAGCCTGAAAGGAAGACTGAATGAGCTAAGAGAACAATTCATATTATCATAAATATAATTGGGGAGTGGCCTTAATTATAACTATTGTTCCAGGTAGGCTCCTTGGTACTTGATGTACAGTAATTGACCTAGCAAACACATTGTTCTCCCTTCTATTGAACAGGAAGACACCCAAAGCCAACCTCTCAGATCTGGTATGAGAACTCCATACCAATAAGGCTCTGATACTTTGAGCCACAATCTAAACTATAAAACAAGCTTGTCCAACCCACAGCCTGCAGGCTGCATGTAGCCCAGGATGGCTTTGAATGCAACCCAACACAAATTTGCAAAGTTTCTTAAAACATTATGAGGTACTTTGCAATTGTTTTTAGCTTATCAGCTATCATTAGTGTTACTGTATTTTATGTATGGTCCAAGACAATTCTTCTTCTTCTTCCATTGTGGCCCAGGGAAGCCAAAAGATTGGACACCCCTGCTTTAGAGTCTTTGATCTCTTGGAGCCTAAAAAGTCATCAGACTGGTTTATTACATGAATGATAAAATTCTGACAGGATCTGGTAGGCATAAGTAATAAGTTCCCTACAAACTTGCAAAAATATGTGGATGATGGTGTACATGAGACAAATTTCACAACAAATACAGAATACTACAACCTCAGTGAAGTTCTTGAGAATATATTGGTCTGGGCTGATCTGAGATTTGCACTTCAAATTGAAGACACAGCCTATAACTTATTTGACTAAAGATATTTAATATCTGCTGTTCAATTTTACAGATGACATATGCCATATTTAAACACCCTTCTTCCATTCATCAGATAGACAAAACTGTTTTATTCTTAAAGCAGAGGCCTTTCCTGATAGCTTCTAAGATGGCTCCCAATGATTTCCCACCTCCCTGTATTCAAGTCACTTTTAATTCCATTATATTGAGTATGAAGTGGACCTACTGGTATTTAGCAAATAGAATATGGTGAAATTAAAGATATTTCACTTCTATAATCAAGTTACAAAACAACACTCTGGCTTCCTTTATCCTTTCTCAACTGCTCACTCTGAAGAGGCCAATCATAATGCTGTGAACTGTGGCATGAAAATGTTTACATGTCAAAGGACTAAAGGAAGTCCCTGGCCAACAGTGAGAAAAAGAACTGAGACCCTCAGTCCAGTAGTCTTCAAGGAACTAAATGTTGCCAACAGCCACATGAATGAGCTTGGAAGAAGATTCCACCTATCCTCTCCATTGAAGCCTTCAAATAAGACATCAGCCTTGGCCAACACTTCAATTCAGGCTGGTGAAAAAAACTGAACCAGAGGACTCAATTAAGCTGTGCCCAGATTCCTCATCCACAAAAACTGTAAAATAATAAATATTTGTTTCAAATCACGAAGTTTTCAAGGTAATTTTTCTTTAACACAGAAATAGGTAACAAATACAGCACTTAAGATGCATTAAAGAGCTGTTGCTTCCACACCAAATTCCTTATTACCAAGTTAATGTTCAATATATCTGCAGCAAACTGAAGTGATATGTGGTATGTGATGCAACCATATGTAAGAGCAGTGAAACAGAGGACTCTTAGGTCAGGATCCATTTAGTGTGAAACCATTGTTTTTTTGAAGCTCCTGATTATAGCAAATCATATAACCACTGGACTTGAATGGAAGTGTGGACCAGAAGATTTCCAATATTTCTAGCTAAGCACATCCAACAGCATTTCATTGGAGACTAGTTGCAAACAGAACTTGAAATCATAAATAGTTACACACCTACAGCTATGGTGCATCTTCACTCATTATATAATGACTTTACAGTATAATGACTGTATGAAGTCAGTCATTATACTATATGACTTCACTCATTATATAATGACTTTACAGTATAATGACTGTATAATGACTGATGAAGATGGAAAATGAGCCTGATTTAAAGATGCCATCACACAACATAGTAGAACCAGCCAGATCCATTCTGGAGAAGTGTTAAAACTCTTCTAGGAGATTATCAGATAACAAAGAAAAGAAATCTTTCCATTGGCAGATCTTCAAAAAAGATACCTTGTTTTTCACTTTGCTTCAACGGGGTAGATGGCCTCAGGTCACAATATATACTAATTCTCAGACAGTGACCAATAGTCTGGTCATATATCTAATAAAGGAATATTAATATGAGAGAATTTTGTGGCAAGTTTAGGTGAAAGAGTATGTGGCTAAAGATCTAAGAATAGACTAAGAGCAGTTCTAGAAAATTGTTGGTTTGTGACAGATTAGATATTTAAACAAACAAAAAACCCCACAAATCTTCCACAACAGATGTCCTCAAAAGTGCTGGCTTACAGTCTGAAAATATGTGTATCCTATGTGAATATGCACCAGAAGACCACCATTGCAAAACAGCCTCTCATAATCAGAAGGACATGGTGAGCCTCTGTTGATGTCCATTAGCCTCCTTTCCCATCCAAGCCAAGGTTCATACAATGAGCTCAGGAAACAAAGTAGTTAAAGGGAAGACATGGGACAGATTCATGCATTTAACCTTATGAAAATTTCCCTTATCAGCTTTGGCTTGGCTATTCCTCTTGCTGAGGCCAACTCCAAATCCATTATGTGACACCATGCATTAGTGAACCAGCCAGCTCTCTGATAGTAGGTTGATTACATGTGACCCCTTCTATCATGAAGGGGGCAAAGATTTGTCTGCACCAAATAGACACTTAATCTAGATTTGAAGTTACTTTCCCTGCTGCTGTCAATATCATTCATCCATGAAATTACTCAATGCTTTATATTCTGCATCCAACCAAGAAACCAATTCAAAATAAAAGAAGTAAACAGGGGGCTGTTTGGGAAACTCACTGACCTTATTTTCTATCAATAAGCTGTAAGTGACTGTTTCCCTAAACCATAGCAAAGTCCACTGAAAGCTGGGGAACAATGCATCTCAATGGTAAGATGCTGTTTCTCCCATAATCTGTCACTATCCCATACAGATAAACCCAGTTCCATGAACAAAGGAGTAATGGTAGAGGAGTTAAACATATCTGTCAGGACTGTAGCTAATAGCCCACTCTGAAAATTTTAACTTCTCTGGTTTGTATCAGCCTAGAGGGCTTATTGCAAGGGAAGAGGCCTTTAATCATGGTTTCATTAAACTGTAAACTGTATTTAAAAGCATAACATGGCTTTATGAAAATCTTAATGTAAATGGGGAAATTATGGAAAAGGATTTTTGTTTTTTAGATTATTGGATCTGACCTTCCAGAGCAAATATGATGGGTATTTAGGAGTATCCAGGAAAGAGAAATGGTTCTTGTTGGCTGCCTTTTATTCCGCCATCAATATGGTCAGGCTTTTTTTTCTAAAGATTGAGAATTTTCTTTGCTTCTCCATGCGAGTAAAGGTGCAAAGTGAATTCATGTAGAATATAGAAGGGGTAGGGAAAGAAGTAATTTATAACTATATTTCAGTTGCAAATTCAAGGGCATTGGTCTCTATAATTTTACAGTTGCCATTATAAATGTATTATGTATTTTAATATACATGTTTCTTTCACTCCTCTATCATACATAGGAAGTTTTTATAAGGGGAATATAACTACTGTTTTTCTCTAATAAATATAGAAAACAGATATGATCAACACATATATAGAGGAAGAATAAGCATCACCAAGATATTTTGAGTTAGATGTTAGACAATAAATTAGAGTCCTTTGGGCTGCAAGTATAATCAAACTAAACTCAAGCTCTAAGTAACATACCTGAAAATTCAGAAGCAGAGCAGGCTTTGCTTCCCTTTCCTCAGATTTTTTTCTCATTTATTCTCTCTGCATTGGCGTGCTACTCGGGTAGAAGACAGTGTTCTGGGCAGAATGGACCATGAACCTGGGCACAAAACACCCACAAGTCAAACAGACTATTACTTGCTTCCTATTTCTCTTAAAAGACAGATTTTTTTTTGAAATCTTCAAAGCTGTTTTTCTCAAAACTCACTAGTCAGAATTAAGGTATAGGATTTATTCTAAACAATACCTGAACAAGGGAGATGTTACTGCACTTAAACATTTGAAGCCGTGATGGTCATTTGTGAAGTATAAATGTTTGTGAAGAAAGAGTGAAAATACATGAATGAAAATTGGGGTTATATTTAAAACGATGAAAGGGAGACAGATACTAAGTAGGCCATCAACAATGTACACTACGACAGAGACCATGTAACATAAAACTTGAATGCAGGAACTGGGAATAAAAATGTGTTTTCTAGGCCAGGCGCAGTGGCTTACGCCTGTAATCCCAACACTTTGGGAGGCCAAGGTGGGTGGATCACAAGGTCAAGACCATCCTGGCCAACATGGTGAAACATCTCTACTAAAAATACAAAAATTATCTGGGCTTGGTGGTGCACATCTGTAGTCCCAGCCACTCGGGAGGCTAAGGCAGAAGAATCACTTGAACCAGGGAGGTGGAGGTTGCAGTGAGCTGAGATCATGCCACTGCTCTCCAGCCTGGTGACAGAGTGAAACTCTGTTTCAAAAAAAAAAAAAAAAAAAATGTGTGTCTCCTATTGTACAGAATGTGAATGGCTTTAGGACAGTATTATGAAAATAAAAGGATCATACCAGAATTATATTAGCTCAGGCATCTTTGAGAGTAGGGAATTATTAATCGTTTTGTCTGCATTTTCACGGGGCTGGATCTCCAAAGGCTATATCTCTGCTACAAGATTCTGTACCCTTGGTCAACAGCTGTATCACATAATGATAGACTTTTGACCCACTAGAGCCTATGTAGATTCTTTCTCTAGAATTTTATGTCTGAATGGAGTAAACTAAAGACCAAAGATCCCTGAGGCTGTCATCCTCACTGCAGTAACAGGAAAAAAAAAAGATCTACAAACTGCAGCTACTAAGAATTTCCGAGCTTCCTTTATCCATGCCTCTCCTTCACTTTGGTTGTGTAGCTTCTATTAATGCTGTGATCAAATCAAATCACCAAGTAAAACCTATTTTTTGCTAAAGTTATCTGATTTCTGTTACTCACAGCTTGTATACTATTAAAAAACACAAGTATGCTGTCAAGTTGGAAAACACCGATATAGTTCAAACTTTTAAATTTAACAATGAAGAAAATGAATTCTAGAAAGTGTAAGTTGGTTTATACAAGGACATTCAGTTTCTTAGAAATTAAACTGTAATCAGAACCCACACCCCCTAATTCTACCCAGTGATTTTTATGGATAAATATAAAAATTATGACAACACAGCCACAGCTCTAGCTTAGGACATTTTTTAAAGAAAGTTTCTACCAGTGTTTTGTAGGCACCCTGGGAGATTGCTGACCTTACTGTAAGTGCTATGACCCACTTCTGACATTTTCGGGGATTTAGTAGCCTTCTCTTCTTCTACTAGACACATTTTATTTTGAGACCTCCACCCTTCTGCCATCAAAAGTTTTTCCCATTTTAACCTTAAGACATTTGAGCAATAAAGAAAAAAGTTACACATTGTAAACCACATGGGTAAACCTCCTTTATGGTATAGTCTTGTAATGTGTTATAACAATAACTATAGGTTTTTTTTCCAATATAGTGATGAAAGAAACCTGAAAATACCCTGAAAGGCACACATAACACAACAAAAAGAAGAAATAAGAGTATAGTTTGGGCATACATTTTTTACATTGTTTAGTAAAATAATCAGACTAATAGCTCAGTCTTGAATTATTAATAGTTTGGATTCTGATGGCATGCTGACCTTCAATCAATTTGTTTTATTTCCTTGAAATAACAGTATCTGATCTTTGTCAGGTCTCATTCTCTTCTGTTCACCTTGGCTGTGAATTATGTCAAACATTTAAGAAATGTAGTACAAATGCTGTTGTCTGTTGTTCTTTTAGATTAAAGAATCTGAAGAAAAGTTGATCCTCTTAATATATCATTCCATTTCTCAACAAGGACACACATTTAAACATATAAGTTAAACTGTCTCAAAAGTACCAATATGATGTATATTTCATAGGTCAATAATATATTTTGTAGGCCAATCGTATTTCTGTTATTTGAAAAATGGAAATAAAAGGGAAATACAATAAAATATACTAATAAAGCTGTAAGAATTGTGGAAAAAACAGTTGCTCTATAAAGCATTTTAAGGATTTCAAGTAGTATTTAACTTCATCTAATAGATATGAATGAGACAGAGGGATTGATGTTCATGTGATCAGCAATTGCCACCTAGATTACACAGAGTCTGTGTCACCTCCAGGCATAAGTTTTTAGCTGGTATTTCTCTTATGTTTGAAGCACTCACCTTTCACCTCTCTGTGCCCTAGAGGACACTTCTAAATACCTGACTATTCAGGGCTACTGTTCTACTGTATCCCAATTTTAAGCAATTTTCTTCATATACCTCTGATTATTGGTATTTCCTCTTGTCAATAGTAAGAGTTTGATTGCAACTAAGCTAGCAGAGAACTTCATGCCAATGTGTTAACTGGCAAAGGTAAATTTGTGCATCACCCAGGTCTTATAATGCCCATTTTAACAGGTAGTTCCTAGTATAGTGCTTCAAGTCAAATAGTGTTTGAGATTATGCAAAGTTTTGGCCCTCAGAAAGCTCAAAAGTGGGCCCACAGTTCTTGACTCCCCTCTGGTCATATGCTGTGGTTTTGAGAAGCTCTGTGTGATTTATGAGAATGAATGAGGGGTAGCCGAATCAAAGCATGATACATAGGGTGAAGACTATATTAAATGAAGGATCTACATGCTTTAGTTCAGTCCATGTGTATATCACATTATTAATATCCCTGTGTCTTCATTTCAGAAAAAATGGGCAACAGACTAATTGAGTCTTTGAGAAAGAACTAGCCCTTTCTTAGATTCTTAAATTGTGGCAGCAAAAAGGGCAAACATTTGTCTGCCTGCTATGATTCAGAGAATAATTGATTTGTGATCCTGAGCAATAAGCAGAGCACATTTCCTACAAGGATTTGGTAGGGGAAAAAAAGGTGTTTTATTAATGTGGTTGAACACTGATTAAGCTTGATCAGCAATACAGGACAATCTGCTTTCTAGGTAATGGTCAGAGAAAATGGCTGCAGGCTCTGTGCCTGTCTGACTTCTTAGTACATCCTCTGGAACAGATCATGTTCTCAGTCAAGGGAATTTAAAGTCATATTCAATAACTCTGACAACTCACAATAAATTTCTCTGATTTGTACCACTGCTCAGGCAATTAGGACCATGTGCATTTTTAACCAATCCCTGTTTTAAGTTCCAGTTATAATAACTGAATTCTTGTCCTATTTTCCCTGTTTCTGTCTTAATTCCCTGGATTTTCATTGCAGTAGATCTAGTAGCTACGGGAGATAAACCCTAATCCAAAGACAAAATCTAGATCATCACTTGCCTTTGTAAAGAAAATTTTATTAAACAGTCATGTCCATTTGTTTATGGATTGTCTGTGGCTACTATTATCTTACAATGGCAGAATTGAAAACTTACAGTGACTATGCGGCCTGCAAAGCTAAAAATACTTATTCACTGGCCCTTTACAGAAAACATTTCCCAATTCCTGACCAAAACCCCGTTTGAGTTTTTGCCAGTTCCCCTGGCATCAGTCTCAAAGTTTTTATCTTTATTCCATAACTTCATCTCTCTGATGTCTGCCTGAATATCTTTCCTAATTACTTTGCATTATTTCTTTAAATAATTATTAATAAACTTTTTATATTAGAATAATTTTAGATCTACAGAAAAGTTACCATAATAGTACAGAATTCTTATACCTGCACTTACTTTCTTGTCATACCTTTATTACAACTATTAAAGATATATTGATACACTAAGTAATGCTCATACTTTATTCCAGTTTTCTTAGTTTTTGCCTAACATCATTTTTCTGTTCTAGGATTTCATTAAGAATACTATGTTACATTTGGTCTTCATGTCTTTTTAGACTCCTTTAGACTATAATTGTTTCTAAGACTTTACGTGGTTTTAATAATTCTTACTTTGTGATGACTTTGAATATTTTAAGGAGTGCTGGTCATGTATGTTATAGAATATTTTTAAATTTAGTTGATGTTTTTCTCATAGTTAGACAAGGGTTAAGAGAAAGGCCACTACTCTGGTTTAAATGTGTCCCCTCCAAAATTTACATGTTAAAACTTAATGGATGATAGTATTAAAAGGTGAGGCCTTTAAGAGTCGATTAGGCCATGAGGGTTTCTCCCTTCATAAATGAAATTAAAGCCCTCATAAATGAAGCTTCTCGTAGGTTTAGCCCTTTTTCAACTCCTCTGTACCTTCTGTAATGTGAAGAAACAGTGTTCGTCCCCTTCAGGGGATCAGCAAAGTACCAATTTGGAAGCAAAGGCCCTCAGCAGACAAGTAAACCTGCCAATGCCTTGATCTTGGAAATCCCTGCCTCCGGAACTGTGAGAAAATTAATTTCTCTTTGTAAATTACTCAATCTATGATATTTTGCTATAGCAGCACAAAAGGATGAAGACAACCACAGAGGTAAGTGCCGTTCTCATCAGATCACATCAAGCGTATGTGCAATCAAGATGACTTATCCCTCTTGATGTTGACCTTCATTACTTGGATAAAGTAGTGTTTGCCAGATTTCTTCACTGTAAAATTATACTCCCCCTTTTCATGCTGTACTCTTTAGAAGGAAATAACGATGCACTATCCTTTGCATTTTTAGCAGTTTCTCTGTAGCCACATACTATTTTTATACTTTGTCACTCCTAAAACCCTAGCTGATTTTTTGCTAATGCCTGCATAGGTTTGTGTTTATTTTCTGTCACCCTACACTGGATACCATGCACTACCATCTCACAGTCCTCTGGCTCACACCTAAGTGCCCATATCCACATGA